AAGGCTCCAGGGCATGTCCCTACAGGTCAGAGCATTTGCCCCATGGTGGTCAGTGAATGTCACAGCAACTGGTTGGCCAGTCGACTTCCCCCTGGTGGTCAGTGCATGTCTAGCTAGTGGTTGAGCAACCTTATCATATCATTAGCATATTAAGCTTTGATTGGTTGTTCAGTTGTTCTGCCGTTTGGTCTATTTGCATATTACCCTTTTATTATATAGGATGTGTATTACATAAAATGATTTGGTTGAGAACATTATATGCCTTACTTTATGTAAACTGCTATTTTAAGTATTAACATAAGATAAGGCATATTAAATGAAAATGACCCTGATATTAAGGTCTTCCTTGATGTTCATGGAATTTTCAAGGGCCTTCATGGTCTAAAGAAGTGACACTTTATAGATATGAGCTAACAGGTCATTCAAATATGAAATTAACAAGCTACATACAACACATGTCCTACTCTGTCCTTCCTTCCCTATTCTGTCTATTCTGACTCTTCTTCCTGTATATTTTTCTGTCATATGGGGGGAAAAAGCATCTGGACTCATTACTGCCTAGTCCTGAATACTCACTGAAGCCCTTACAAGTTGATTTCAGCCCTTGCTCTCCACAGAAATTTCACTCTTGGAGAGAACATATGCCATATGCCAGTCCTCAGATCCTCCCACCCCATGACAGCATCTGGCATCACTGACACTCAACAACCAGACACTGAACTTGCCTGCGTTGCTTCTGACTCCACTTTTAATAGTAAAATCTCATTGTTTCTAAAAGTATATTGTTATTACCTTATCCTAGTGTTGGAGAGCAAAGCCTTAAGTTCCAATGCAGGAATTACCACTTACTAGCTATGTACCTGTGAGCAAGTTAATCTCCACCCTTCACTGTCACATATGCATAAAAGGATATCACATGTAATAAGGATTTTATACATACATATAAATACTGTGAAATATATGTGCCACAGGAATTGTACATATTTTAATACATATATTTAAAATATATGTATTTTATGTGTGTTTATATGTATGTGAGATAAACACTCTATATGGTAGATCAAAAGTATATAATACAATGAGCATCCATTAATGCTCTCACATGTCAATCTCATGCCTCTTTATTTTATATTACACTTCCCACCACTAAATTCTCACAAGGCTGAGCCCATGCCTCCAACTGTCTGCTAGACATCAGAACACAACTAAAATTCAGCTTCTTATAAAGTGAACTCACTCCTGCCCATTTTTTTTTCTTTTCTATTATTAATGGCACTAACACTCCCCCAGATCGAGTCCTCAGCATCGAGTCCTCAGGACTTTTATAAGTCCTTCCTCTTAGAAGTCCCACAAATCCAGGCCCTGGATGGTGTCTGGTCCCCCTCACAGAACGATGCTCTCCAGCCTGTAACTCCCGCTCTTACACTGGGCCTTCATCTGCACCATGCGATGGCCTACTGGCCTTTTTATTCCTCTACTTCCTGCCGCAAACCTTGCTGCCAAACTAAGCTTCCTGAAGCAGGTGACCTGAAAACCACGAGAGGCCCTGGTTCCTATAAAATTAAGTCCAAACATCCTTGGGTGGCATTCTCAACCTCCCTGCACCTGGCCTGATTCTCCAGTCTCACCCCGAACCACTCACCCAGGTTCCAACAGGAGCCGCTTTTGCAGAACAAATACCACTCTCTGTACTTTTCTGATCACATGATCCCCATACCAAAAATGTCCTCTTAAAACACCCCACCTATTCAAACTCCATTCCAAAACCAACACACCGTTATTCAAGACATTTTCCAATCCCCCACAATGGGATGGACTCCATCTAAAGTCCTGTCAGCTTCTCTCTGTCTCTCTACTCTTATTCTCTGCCATCTCTTGGAGCTACTGTTGGACATTTCTTCTTTCCCCTTCTGGACTCATGGTCCTCCTTCCCCCAAATCTCATACACACCTGACTCAAAGCAGGTGCTATACTGAACTAATCCATAACACGTACACTTTGAGGACAAAATGCATGCACAGTTCACAAATTCTAAGGCACAATCCTAGCTTGAAATTCCATGTGAATTTCCCACTACCCCTTTCCACCTGGGAAATACAATTTTCTGGTTTGCAAGGGAAGAAAAGACCTTGATAATATTTTTGGCCCACAAACACTTCTTTTAAAACAACATCTTCATGTATTATGTGGAAATGAAGCCAAAACATATGGGTTAAGTTTCCTATAAAGTCCATATGGATTTTATGAAAATGGCAAAGGGGCTGAGCTAAAATGTGATCTCCAAAGCAGATTCACTAGGGGTCCTTTTCTAATTCTAAAACAAGCCAAATCTGTCTTGCTTTAATTACATGTTGAAAGTTTCTTCTTCTACTTGAGTGACTTTCCTATTCAGTCAATATTTTTTTCATCCCAAGGGAGTAAACATAAACAGAGGAAAAGAATACATCTTTCTATTATTTTTCCTTTGTAGACTCTACCTGGGTCTCTCCATTTTCTTTCTATCATAGTTTCCCTTCCTTTCAATATTAAATTTTTTTCTTTTTCTTTCTTTCTTTTTTTTTTTTTTTGGCTATTAACATTTGCTTTCTTTTTTAAAATTGTTTGAAGCACTACAAATAGTAGTACATACGTCTCCTTTTTTCCCTCCTTGACCTCCCCCCAGCTTCCCCCAACCCTGCCCCCCATGTCGTATGAACTTTTCCCTTCCTCACTAGACAATTCTTTTTCATCTCCCCTATTCTTACTTCCTCTCTTTCTTTTCATTCTCAATCGTATACTAAAAGAACCTCTAGCTCTCCCACACCACGTTAAAGGCTTTGGGTGGTGTACGTGCATCTGTTGTCAAGGCAACCTGTGGCTCACACGGGTACACGCACCCATATCAAGTTCTCCTGCAGGACCACCCTTGTCAGCAGAAAGACTCCTCCTCGCAGAGCCTCGACTCTCAAGCGAAGCCCAGCCAAGCAGGATAAAGAGCTGGGAGTGAGAATGAAAGGAGACCAGGAGGAAACTGGAAAAGAAAGACGATGTTATGGGGAACTACTTTCTCAGAAATAGTAACAAATCCAAGGTAACTGCTCTTGCCTCTCTGCATACCAAGCAACTCTGTGTTTCCCTAACCCCAGGCACTCGGCAAATAACCTGAAACTGTGTCTCCCTGCCTCCCTTCTTGGTAGGAAACCTCAGTGCTTCAATTGACACGGGTTGTGTATCCATAGCATTATCTAGCCTGGCCACAGAAAGGGAGAAGGGGAAACTGAAAACCCTCTCTCTACTTAGCTCTGCAAAGCTCCGACTCTGAGAACGGGTCCGGTTTCATCTGCTGTAGCTATTATCATTGGCTCCGCAACGCCACTTGGAAATTCCTCGCAGATTTGTTAACAAGGTGGAACCCGCACTGTCTACTTCCCAGAAGAAGAATCATGCAGTTATCTTCCCAGTTTCAAAAAAGACCAGAACACAGGAAGCCACAGCACTCAGTGGAGACCATTCTGAGAGCAAGTCCCAGGGCCAGTGTTTTCCCAAACAAATGGGATAAAAGCTTCCTAATTGGGAGTCAGTCTAATGACAGCCACGTTACTAAGCACTGCTGCAAAACGTGCAGCCCAATTACTTCTTTTTCGAAAACTGAACAGTAGCCACGATTCCATGAAGCTGTCTGGAAAGCTGAGTGCACACTAATGAGGTTCAAGGACAGTTTGACAGGAACATAAAAGGAGACATAAATTCACCATTAGCTACTAAACATACACACACACACACACACACACACACACACACACACACACCAAACTAACTTCTCATAAACACGCTGCTTTTACTATGCTGGTGACCAGCTTTCAAGCTTTTCAGTGGAAACCAATACTCACATAAGCTAGACTTGTTCTCGCAAAGAGCAAATGCAACAAGGGCCCAAGAAATGCTCTGCTCCAAGGGGCCACACCTGTCTGACCGCCCCTTTCCCACTCTTCTGACCCCCTCAAAATTTGAGTTCATGAATTCATCCAATAAACATGAACTGAGCTTCAGATATGTACTGTTTCTAAGTGTACAAAAAAAATCTCTGCCCTCCAGGATCAAGCAGAGAGAGAGATAACAACTAAGGAAATAGGTAAGTGAATTAATTATATAGTATGTTAGACAGGAAGGATACTATAGGATACAAGCCCCTATACAGGCTCCCCACCCCCAGACTGTGACCTGCTTTCCATCAGGAGCTATGATGTTCCTCTTCGCATCCCCATACCTAACACACGCTTGGCATATAATGTAATCTCAAAATTTTTAAAAATCTTTTAATGAACAAGTGAGTAACCAAGAATTTTAACAGTTGTCTTGGAGGAAAAATGATTATCAAGGTCCTGATCTATTAAGTGACAGAATGAGAAAAAAGAAGTCTAAAAGTCCTTGAAAGAGTCTGTTGTGTTTTTTAAAAAGCATGTATTCCCCTTGATTATATAGAACAAGTAGCAAGCTGACTCACCTACGAGATTATTCCTTTTAAATCAGGGATTCTTAACTTGGGGTCCCCAGATTCAGAGATACATGTAAACCTCCTGAAACTGTTAACATGCTGAGTAGATGGGAGTTATGTGTGCATCCCTGTGTCATGGAACTAGAATTTGAGTGAGAAATCCTAGGAATGAAGGCAGAAAAGGAAAATAACAAACAAAGAAAGAAACACACACACACACACACACACACACACACACACACACACACACACAAACACAACCCTGAACAGTTCACAACTACAGAGCGAATATTCATTTGCAACTGGGTTAAATATTTCTTCCATAAACCAGTGAGAGAACAGAAGACCTGGCAGGCTCCCGATTTATGAAGCTCCATCAAAACAGAGAACCTCAGTGCAAATTTCTCAGAACCACGCTCATTATTATAAGTTTAAAAAGAGAGAAAAGGGGATACTTTTACATTACAAATTGACAAGCCAAATACAGAAATTCCTTTAAGGAAAAAAAATATTAATATGGTTTTACCTTTTCGTAGTTTTCAATTAGGATTTCCACAACAATGTTCTGGAACTTCAAGTCCATGATGGCAGCAACAGTTTCCTCCTGTGGCCTCATCAGAGTTGGTCCAAACACCACTCCCAAATTTGCCACGGTCATCAGGTTCTGCTTGGAGTGGTTTGAAACACTAACGTTGATGAGGGCGGAAAGAAAGGTCTCTCTGGTTAGATGAGCGAAAACTGTGGGTTGTGCAGTATTCTGCAAGACTATTCCCCTAAATACCAGGACTCGACTGTCCTCAATGTCTGCCTCTGAAATAACAGGATCCTCCAACAAGACCACACATCATGAGGCCCCTGCCTACCTCTCGGTTTCTCTCTGATGCTCTCTGCGCTAGCCACAGTGGCTGGCTTAATAACTCCATCTATACGCCACGCTTGTGTCCCACCGAAGCCTTTATTTACTATTCCCCCTCTACTTAGAGCACCTCCTCTAAGCCCAGATTACTGTACTCTGGCTCCCAGGGACTACGCAACTTAGCAGAATGACCTTTACAACACATTAGGACTCGGTCCGAGCGCCCAAGACCTGGGAACAACCTTCACAACTGTTCCCGGTGACTCCAAGGTCTCATCCTCAAAGAGACTTTCCATAATAGCCCTCTTTGTAGTCCCACACCCAACATATAGTCTCTATCTCCTCACGTTCCTTTTTGCCTTTTGACCACTTATCCACTGGAATTATTTTATATTTGTATTTGTATTCTTTTGGTTGTCTTTTCCCCTCAGAAAAACAGGACTTCCTGAAAGGATCCTGTCCAACCATGTGTCTACTAGCCCCTAAAAAAGGTCAACCCTAGCCTGTTTGGGTCAACAGATAAGAGTGTCAGCCTGCGGACTGAAGGGCCCTTGTTTAATTCCAATCAAGGGCATGTACCTCGGTTGTATGCTAGGGGCAGCAGCAAGAGGCAACCAATCAATGTGTCTCTCTCACACTGATGTTTCTCTTTCTCTTGCTCTCTGTTTCTCCCCGCCCCCCACTTTCCAGTTTCTCTAAAAAATCAATGGAAAAATATCTTCAGGTGAAGATTAATAAAAAATAAAGAAAGGCATTCACTAACAACTATTTGTTGGCCAAATGAATAAATGGCTATACTAGTACTAGTACTCTTCACAGATCATAATATCCTCTGGCCTTCATTTCCTTTCTATATAAAACAAGGGTTCTAAAACATAATGTCCTTAGTTTCCTCTCCCCTCAAAAATAGAGATCAAGGAGTTATATATTTAAAGAAGAGACTAACTTCTCTACTGGGTCAGTGGACAGAGTGACAGCCTGCAGACTGAAGGGTCCCGGGTTCAATTCCTGTCAAGGGCATGTGTCTTGGTTGCGGGCACATCCCCAGTGGGGGATGTGAAGGAGGCAGCTGATTGATGTTTCTCTCTCATTAATGTTTCTAACTCTCTCTCTCCCTTCCACTCTGTAAAAAAATCAATAAAATATATTTTTAAAAAAATAAAAGAATAGAATGGATCCTATGAAATAACTACCTATTTCTTGATTAAATAATCTTAAAGGGTATGTTCAAACTCAGAGTTAGGTAGGTGTGAAAGCAGGCTAAATTTGCTAACAGACATATAATCACATTTCCAGAATCAGTGTACAGGGAAATGTATAATATTCTCTTCCCTTACTTCAAATCAAACCCCAAGTTGCTGGCAGTGATGTTAAGCAAATAATTACACGACTTCATGAAAGCATCGTGTTTCAGCAGTCTTGTCCAAAGCACACACAAGGAGTCAGATGTCCAGCCTGCCCTTCCAGGTGTGGTCTCTGGTATTGTGTATACAGCCCCAATTCTGACCATTACAAACGCAAGAACCCCCCACAACACCCGCACAGAACGTTAGGAAGGAAAAAGAGGCTTACTTTGTTAAGTGTTTCACCAAGATGTCCAACATCTCTTTATTTTTCTCTGGCAGTTTATGCACCAAGAAATGGATAGCATTAACACGAGATTCTGGACTCCCACTTTCTTTAAAAAGGAGAAAGAACAGTTAGTAGTGTCTTTGGAATCAAACATACTCCTGAAAGTCAACACATGCAATATCTCATCAGTTCAACATCTTCAGAGAATTTAAACATGTTTTGCCACCTTTCAAAGGAAAAGAAAATCCACCTCTCTTCCCTATTCTGAATGCCCCCGCCTCCCTGGTGGGGGCTTTCAAGGAGGCTGCAGTTCCTGCCTTTCCCCGCTGACATGAAGAACAGCCAGCCCAGCCCGTCCCTGGCACGCTGCACTCAGTGTGCTCCTCACTCACTAGAAGGAGTCTAGTCACTGTGTCCTGCCCACAATGAAATGCAAATAACATATCGCTAATAAAACTCTTTCCTCTTATGGGTTGAATTTCATCCCCCCACAACGTATGTTGACGTTTAACCCCCTACCCCCTCTCATCAACTCCCCCGCCCACGCTCCAGTGTCTCAGAACGTGACTGTTCTAAAACACACCCTGGATTTGTTTTAATCAGGTACGGTGAGACAGGCAGGCATGGAAATGACTGTCATCAAGGAAGTGTATCCAAGTCTGTTTTTTCCTCCTTCTTCCAAATAGAATTTTTGAGATAATGCTTTCAAAGTAACTCTACCTTTTTCTCCAGTTCTTTATATTATGATATTAATCTATCAATGGGCATTTCCATGTAGATACAACATACTAGCTTATGGTACTCAAAAGTTTTCTAAACTAAATTATCTTACGTTTTCATTGATGTAAATTAACAAAAGAAAAGGTATAACATTTTTTTTTAAATCTAGGATACTGAATTAACCATAACACCAAATTCCTAACATATGCCAAGGAATTGGGAGTTTACTGTAATAGCAAAAGTATGTTTAATTGTGTAACTATAAATTAGCATCCTCAACACTTCACATCTATCTGCTTATGATATGAACTGTGCCAACTAATGGAGAGTGGAAAAGATATGATCATAGCTTACTGGAGCATATCAGAGATACAGAGGCAGATAAATGTTCAGTTATGTTAATATTTAAATGCCATAAATCAATAGTACTGTAATTTTAGAAAAGGATGAGCACTTCCCGAGGGACAAGGGGGTATCTTCACTCAACAGAACCAAGAATCCCAGTTCTTCTGTGGAAGCTCCTATTGACTCGGAAATGAATACACCAGGCTAAGATAACTTGATGTCAATAAGCATTCGATTCCTTTAATTTCCAGATTTTCAACTCCTTCCCCACCAAGACCATATGATTTTATCTGTTTACCAACAAAAACAGAACATTCTGGGTAGGCCAACACCAGTGCCCTGGAGCCTATCATTGTTATATTTTTCATCACATGAATATAATTTTGTTTCCTACGTAACTTGACCAGTGAATCTAACAACACAAGTATTCTGGTTTGCGGGACTGGGATTTCTTGTGTGATGCCTTCGCAGGCATCTAGGTTTCAGCTATCATCTTCAAACTAAGTCTAACATTGAATCCAACCCTGAAGCATGGGTCCAACTCTTATCAATACAACATATCAAGAAATCCAAGTCTAAGAGGCTGAGACACAGGCCATGGACTACAACATTCTCAAAGGTAGTGATCACCATGCAGTAACAGCCTTCCCCTGGTAGGTACAATCTTTTGTATTCCTCTGTACACCAAGTAAACTGTGTTTACATCTTATAAATTTCTACACTAAAAGTCCATTATATCCTCTCAAAAAGATTGATGATGTTAAATATATATATCCATATCCTCAGGTTCCTTGTAAATGGAGGTGCTTAGATCATCTTTTGTTCTAATATTAATAGTCTTTGACCCCAGATTCTGATACTGAGCTCCTAGGACCTCCATCCATAATTTACTGAGTGATAGGATGTCTGACACCAAGCTCCTAAGTCCCTTGAAATTTCCTGGATAAGAAATTTCTTTTGTTCTAATGAGGTGACTTTGGGTGGGCCTTTCAATGGGGACTGATCACCAGAAAGATCTAGCCATGATTAGAAGCTCAGATTTTTTAGTTCCATCCCCCATTCTCCAGAGAAGCAATTGGGCCTAAAATAGTTAATAATCCATATTACCTTCATGATAAAGCTTCCATAAAAATCCCCAAAGTGCAGGATCGGAAGAGCATTCTAGTGCATGAACATTCCACATGCTGGGCAGTGGAACACCCCACTCACTACACAGGGACAGTTTCTATACCAGAGTACCTCCAAACCTCCTATTTTACCTAGCTGTTCACCGGTATCCTTTATGGTTTATGTTATAAGCTGTTAACCTAAGACATGTTACCCTGAGTTCTCTAAACCTTTCCAGAAAATTAAAGATCAAAGGGGGGTTATGAGAACCAGGAATTACTGGGGGCAACCAGAGGCTTCCGACTAGTGTCCGAAGCGGTGGCAGTCTTGTGGGACTAAGTCCTTAACTTGTGGGATCTGAGGCTAATTCTAGGTAGAAAGGATCAGAAGGAAACTGAACTGCAGGACATTCTGCTGGTGCCCCAGCACTGCTTGGGGCGGGGAGCCCACACCTTTGGTGATTGGAATTGTTAGAAGTAGTGTGTGTGTGCGGGTGGGTGTGTGTGTGTGTGTGTGTGTGTGTGTGTGTGTGTATGTGTGCGATATGAGGAGAAACACAGGAGTGGTTTTCTAGACAGAGGCTTTCTAGTTCCTTTCAGCAAATTTAGTTAACTCTCTTAGCTAAGAGGATTTAGTTAATGCTCTTAATTATTTCTAAGAATAAAAATATTTAATTCCCCGAAGCATTCAACACTGAACAGTAAGTTAGTATTTCTTAAGAATGGAAAAATAAAAATATAAAAAATTTGCCTCCTGTGGTGAAAACCAACAAAATTCATATTTGTATCATGCACTTCAGAAATTAACTCACAGGTTCTCAGTGAAACTCTACGGGAAAGAAACGGACAACAGGAAATGGAAGAACCAAGAGCAACCTTCAGAGCTCTCAGCAGGGAGGGTAGGAGAAAAGACTATCTCAACGCCGTGAACGGATGGAAACTACCACACGTGAAAAGCATCAAAACTCTGTTTCCATGCTGGGGTGAGAGGCGGTAATGAAGTCTGGTGATGCTTGGTAATTTTAGCAGTGAGCTCAGCTAACAGACACTTCAGCACAACAGGGTCATCTCTGACCTTGGTAACGGACGACGAGAGCCCTAACCACAATCCTAATTTTCCAACAATATTCAAAAAGGGAGACTAATTTTGGCCACCTGATTTCTGTAGCTGTTTTATTCCATACTTGGAAGTACATATGCAAGAGATTAGAGGACCTGCTCCTGAGAGGAAAAGTGAGTACAGAGAACGGAACTCACAAAACTCAAATAAAAAATTAGAAATGTTGGCCTCTAAAACACACCTGGTTCATAGATGTACTTTTTCTCATTAACTATGGTAACTACAGGTCCATTCCAACCGCAACTCCACGTAGGTGCAAATACGTGCCAATAACTACAGGAGCCACAGTGTCTCTTTGGAACAGGCCTGCTACTCAAATGGTTAAGGCTCCGTAACAGCATCCCACGAAGTCAGGAAGCAAAACACACAAGGTTCTGGCCTCCTGGGTGGTGATGCCTTTTGTATTTATACAATCTCTTCTATCACTTTGTTCAAGGGTACCCTCAACAAACGCTTCCAGCTCATCCCCACCACCAATGACTTCACGACCAATTGCAAATCGCTCCTCTTAGGAGGCCTTCATCTGGTAAAATACACTGACATTAGAGTTCCAAACACGCTGGCTTCGGTTACAAGGCCTGATAATAATAATGATACTCCCTTGCGGTGACTTAAAACTTATTCCATAATCACTTTATCTTTCTCCAATTCCCAAAGGATCCCAGATTAAAACTGGCACGCTTCTGCTTTTTCCAGTCCCCAAGGCGCACAACACGAAACAATGGTCCTCGAGTAGAGTTTAATTTCTCTTTCCCCTGTGTGCCAAAAATGCCACAGGGAAGAAATCAAAACAACTAAGCATTTGCTTGAGTTTCTGCCAAGAAAACTTTCCCCCACTTCCTTGATCACATAAATTCTCTTAAAAAAAAAAAAAAAATCCTCTTCCCACATGAAAACAAAAGTGAATAGAACCATACTTTCCCCCTTTTCTGAAAGCCTATTTTCCATGACAGTCTTAACCAGGCCTGCACATGGCTTCTTCCTGCAGCATACTAGGAACCTTCACGTGGACCTGAGCAAAGACCTCACAAAAAGGCAACACTGAAAGCAATGCTCGGGCAGCAGTGACTCAAAGGGACTGCTCGAGGTTTTCCAACCGCAGATGGAAGTATGGAATACATCCAAGAAGGGGAGAAAAAAAAGTAAATGAAAATACAATTATAGCTACTGTCTGTGCACCTGTGAAAACCAAGCTGCAGGTTTCAGCCAGTGGAGCCGGGGCTTTGAATTTAAAGATCCCTATAATCTGGCAAATTACTTAACATCTCTCCACCTTCATTTCCTTAATTATGAAATACCCAGCACCAGCATATTTCAGAAGACTGTAAGGATTGAACACCATGTGTCGAATTTAAAAACTGAGGTGTGCCGAAACCGGTTTGGCTCAGTGGATAGAGCGTCGGCCTGCGGACTGAAAGGTCCCAGGTTCGATTCCGGTCAAGGGCATGTACCTTGGTTGCGGGCACATCCCCAGTAGGAGGTGTGCAGGAGGCAGCTGATCGATGTCTCTCTCTCATCAATGTTTGTAACTCTCTATTCCTCTATCTTCCTCTCTGTAAATAATCAATAAAAATATATTTTTAAAAAATAAATAAATAAATAAAATAAAAACTGAGGTGTATGATAATAAAACAGAAAACAAGAACACTTCAAATATGTATAACTCACCCAAAATTTCATCACAAATTAAAATTCTACCAACTATGGGCCTTTTTCATTTAACATTTTATCACATATAATTCATTCTGTTATAGACTGTGTGGGCTTCTGGCATTATCTCAAAGTATTTTTTCTTCCTTTAATTTCCATTTAAATATCTAAGTGAGGCCATTTCCAAACTATTAATCTCTCCAAATCTGCTCATCTCCCTAACCTTCTGTGAATTAAATATATCCATGTTCCCACCACACTGTGCTCATGCCATTATTATATATTTTACCTATAGTGGGAGGTATGTATGCATCAATATTTGCTAGAGAATTAATTCCTGGGGCAGAAATTCTTTCATGGCTCTATATACCCAGCATCTACCAGGGACTATGGTACAGTAGACAATCAATACATGCGAATGAATGAATGAATTTACTAATTGTCCCCTTTTTCACCTTTTAAAAGAGAAAAGAAACCCAAGATCTTCAAAAGTGATTTCTATTTTTAAACACTAGTTACAGTAATGAAGTTCAATGTTCATGTGGAAATTACAGCTTATACACACTACCAACCACAACACTGCATCTTTGCACCTCTACGTAATACTTACTGGCTGGAACAATGAAATCCCCGTGTAACTCATAGGTCATGAGAGGCTCCGGAAGACTCCTGTGGGAAAAGGACAGCGCAGAATTACCAAACAAATCCACATTGGTCACCGCTTGTTGTGTTCATTCTTTAATAGAGGATATTAAATATGTTGTGTATTTCTTAGTAATGCATAGAACTTCCCTAGGGAACACTTTTACATATCAAAAAATACATAAATCAAGTAGATTACTTTATTAAAGGCTATCTGCACGGGGCACTATCAAAGCTTAAGCACTCATGAATTCCTATCAGACTGAAGCACATGGTATTTCATATTTAATCTTGGTTAGTACCTCTACAATATTTTATATATAAAACTTCTTTCGACTCATTAACTTACTTAAAGTCAAATCTTCTAATCAATCAAATAGGCACATAATTTTGTAAATCATCTCTAATATATTAATTGAAAATGCCACCATATACATATATATACATATATATGGTTAAACAAAGAAATCAATCTTTTCCTCTTATCCCTATTATAAAAATATGATATCCATTTTTTGTTTATGCCCATGAAACAATAAAACATAACATAGGTAAGAAGTGAAATTGAAGACAACTTGAAAAATATCCACGCCAGCCCAACCAGTGTAGCTCAGTGGCTGAGTGTCAACTCATAAACCAGGAGGTCACTGGATTGGTCAGGGCACATGCCTGGGCTATGGACTCAATCCCCAGCAAGGGGTGTGCAGGAAGCAGCCAAGCGATGTTTCTCTGTCATCGATGTTTCTCTCTGTCCTTCTCCCTTCTCTCTCTCTAAAATCAATAAAAACATTTTTAAAATAAATTATAAATATTAAAATATACCCACACCATTTTAATTTTCTACAAAAAAAAGATTACATAAATGGCAGTATATTTTATCCTGTGGTCAACACAATGCTATAGTTCTACCATTATACAAATATAAATTTTAAAAAGACCAGATCTCTGAACTTTATACACACTTTGAGAACAAGTATAAATCTGTACAGTTTCTGGAGGGCAATCTGGCAAGATGTTAAGAATCTTTAAAATATTTAAATCATGTAATCCAAAAATTCCACCTCAAATGTTTAAAGAAAACATCAAAGATACACACACTCAAAAAAAATTTTTGAAAACATATTCAAAAGCCAAGAAAAATGCCAGGAACAAAGATCATTTCATATTGATAAAGAGGTCAATTAATCAATAAGACATAAGAATTCTAAATGTTAATGATCTAATAACAGGAGCTTCAAAATACATGAAGCAAACTGATGCAACTACAAGGAGAAACAGACAAATCCACAACCATAGCCAAGATTTAAATACCTCTCTATCTCAATAACTGATAGGACAAGGAGACAGAAAATCAGTTAAAATACAGAAGATTTGAACAAAGCGATGAACCAACTTCATCTAGTTGGTACATCCTTTACCTAAATGAATTTGTTATACAAATTCAACAACTTGAATGAAATGGACAAATGTCTTGAAAGACACAAACTCCCAAGGTTCCTAAGTACTCCTACATCTCTTTGAGAAACTCAATTTGTACTTTAAAATTTGCCAGAAAGAAAACTCTAAGCCCAGATAACTTCACTGGTGTATTCTAGGAAACACCAATTATATACAAATTCTTCCATAAAATATAAGAGGGAGTAGTTTTAACTCATTCTTTAAAATAAGAATTACCTAAGTTCCAAATATAATGAATATAGTGAATATAATGAATATAGATTGAACTACTCTAAATAAACTATTAGCAACTCAAATTCACAAAGATAAATAAAAGGATAATACACATAAGCTTATAACAAAAATTTAACTGCCTTAATATTAAAACAAAATCAATGCAACTAACCATTCTAGAAAAAGAAAAACAATAAAAATGGAATTAGAAATCATTTATCCACAAAAAGAAAAACTCTATCATCATCTCAATAGGCAATTCAGGAAGAAAAAGATAATTGTTCCAACAAATGGTCCTGGAACAACTGGACATCTATATCCAAAAGTGAACTTAGATCCACACTCCATATCGTCACGAAAATTAACTCCAAATAGACCACAGATCTAAGTATAAAACATAAAACTATAAAACTTCTAGAAGAAAATAGAAAACCTAAAAAAAAAAAATAGAAAAACTTTGTCCTTTGAATTAGGCAGATTTGTTGATACATCACAAAAAAAGAAAAATGGATAAATTGGAATTCATTAAAATTAAAAACCATTTAAAATATGATCTTAAAAAGAATAAAACGACAAGCCATAGGCTGGAGAAGACATTTTAAAAGCCATAGGCTGGAGAAGACATTTTATGTGAGAAAGGATTTATATCCAAAATAATATAAACAATGGCCAAAACACATAAGAGGATAAATAACCCTTTTTTTTTTTAATTGTGTGAAAGACACAGACACCCAAGAATACATGTAAATAGCAAAAAAGCACATGAAAATGTTTGATACCATTAGTCATTACGGAAGCATCAATTGAAAAGCAAAATGAGATGCTACCACGTCCCTGGTAGAAGGGCTAAAATTCAGAAGATTGGCCATTTCAAGAGCTGGCAAGTATGTAGAGAAAATGAGACTCATCCACGTTGTTGGTGTAAAGGTAGACAAGCACAACCACTTTGGGAACAAGTTTGTCAGTTTACCAAACAGTTAAAGGGACACCGACCATACAACTTAATGTTACACAGACATTCGGACTAACCCATGAGAAATGAAAACCTATGTTCCCTCAAAGATTTCTACTGTAAACAGCCAAAAGCTACAACCCTAATACCCATCAACAGGTTAATGGATTATAAAAAAAAAAAAAAAAAAAAAAAAGTGTGGATACCCATACAATAGAACACTAATTACCAACAAAAAGGAATGAATTATGCTACAACATAATTCATATTAGTGAATTTCTGCTGAGTGAAAGATTTAAAAGGAAAAAAAAAATGGAACTATATGATAATATTCCATTTATGTGAAATTATAGCAAATACAACATTTCTTATATAGTGCCAGAAAGCAGACCAAGGTTGCTTTCTAGAATAAAGGAATGAAGAAGAATGGTGTGAGAGCAAGAAATTTCAAAGAGGCATAAGGAAACTGAGGGGTGATGAGAGAGCCCCTATTTTTATTATGGTGATGACTTCACAGATCAAACTTATCCAAATGTACACTATAAATATGTCGTTTATTGTATGCCAATTATACTTTAATAAAACTGTTTACAAACAAAATAGATGCAAACATACATTTATATATAAAACATATATAAATACTTATATATAAAACATATATATATACAATTTATAATGGTATAGTAGACAAACAGACACAGACACACACACACAGGCATGCCCGTATTGACACTGTAGACTTTGAAACTGAAGTGCTGATGAAAACTGTTTTCTTATTTACTCTCTCCCTCCCCTTCACCCCCTACACCAGTGGTCGCCAACCTTTCGAACTTCACGGACCACCAGTGGTGACCACTGGTTGGTGACCACTGCCCTACACTATCATTTAAAGAAGAAAAATAAGGAAAACTGTTACTGGGCAAAGACTGAAAGTTAAAGAGTGTTGAAAAGAAAAGTGGGAAAAATAAGAACACTTAGAAAAAACATCAAAGGAATTTCATTTTCAATAAAAGTGAATTTGTATCTGAACAGCTTCTTCAAGCTTCTTACATCATCGCCATATGTCTGCTAGGCAATGAAGCATAAAAAAAGCATTAGAGATCAATGTTACTCTCTCACTTCCATGTCTCTCTCTCCCTCTCCCTCTCTCCTTCCCTCTTTCCCTCCCCCTTTCTTTCCCTCTCCTTTCTAAAAATCCTCAGGTGAGGATTTTTAAAAGCAAACACTAAATACTGTTAATACAATGACAAGTTCCCCATACAAAATGTATAATATTATCCTTAGTCACAACATCCCTCAGTTTTCCAACCCAACGTGTTTCTGAGCTACGTCTCTTTGCGCCCCGTTGCAATCTGTCTGGGACTATAAATCATAATATCAACCAATGCTGGCAAATTCTTCTCCTAAAGTCCCATTCCAATTTGCAGGCTTTTAAAAGTTTCCTCTAGGTAAAATCATTTTACTAAAAACATCACAAAACAGCTCATGGTCCCCTCACAGGAGAAAACTGTTGCAATGAACACATTGCTGAAAGTGAAAATCAGTCAGAGGGCTGGAATTCTGCCTCTCTAAGCACTAAAAGGTAAGCAAAAGTTGCCTCAAGTCAGAAGAAAAAGGGGAAACACAATATGCATGTCCACTGTACATCTTCCCTCCCCCTCCCCCCCCCCCCCCCAGAACCTAGGAGGTGGTTTTACTTCTTGTTTTAGTTTGCCATTTTGGGATTTGGTTACTTCCCTTCCCATCCCATAAGGTGGCCAGGTTACTTGCAGCAGAATTCAAGGGCAGCAGTGAGAAAAGCTATCTGCAGCTCTGTGCCAGGCACATGTGCCAGCTGGGATTCCAGCCCAGGCAGGCTGGCTCCAGCGCCCACGCTCTTGACCATCACAATGTATTTATTACTCCCTGTGCTGAAAGAAAAACATTTGCTTAGGCCACAACTGGGTAGTCAAAATGAGGTACCTCTGGCACATCGCCAGAAAAAGTGTCAAATCCTCATGACTGCACTTTCAGTTGCTAAACATCACACGGGGGGAAAGATCGGCAACCTCTCAAACCTTCCCAGGCACCTGCCAGTTCACGTTCATCACTTCATCACATTCACGCAGAATGTGGGGATTGTTAGGAGGGAAGTTGTAGGACCCATGTAGCGTCTCGTAATGTTTCCCTGTAAGTGATGTCTGCTTCTAAGAGGGAATTGACAGGATGCAGCAACGTGATGAGAGAGAAAGGCAGAGAACGCAACACAAGACCAGGGCCATAAGGAACAAGGTACAGAGCCTGTCAAGAATCATTTAAACTTGTTCCTCACACAAAGGGTTAAAAAAATAACTATGTGGAGCAGTGGGAACACATGCCATTCACTGCAAAGGAACTGGATTTTTGTCTTTAGTTATCCCACCAATAACTGAATCACCTTGGTCAACCCCTTACCTGTACTCTGCAAGAGTTTACTAAACAGTCAAATGAGTTTAAAGCTTCCCCCTAGAGTGGCAGCTCCCTTTGCTAGTCAGTACATGCCAATTCTTTCTATGCTCATATCCCTCTCCCCTTCTTCCGATCAAGCACCTAACAGAGGCTCTCCCAACCTCAGCACTACTGGTATGTTGGCCATCTGGGGGACAGGATGGGCTGTCTCCTGCATTGTAGGATGTTTAGCAGCTCATCTCTGGCCTCGACTCATCACATGCCAATAGCACCACCTCCCCTTCTCATGAAATGGTGACAACCAAGAATGTCTCCAAATATTGCCAAATATCCCCTTGGGGGAAGAGGGGGGAGAGACAAAATCATCCCCAGCTGAAAACCACTGCTCTCATATTTGAATAACAGTTACAGCTCTAGATGCTGGGAATTCTGCAATGAGCATGAAACATAAGATGACTGTCTTCAGGAAGCTTACATTCTAATCCCAGACCAACAAGATTCATCTTTACTGTAATCCTCGTCTACACCTGTCAAGCACCATTAATGGCAAATCAGACATAACTTGTGTCCTTCTACAGACTAGGGATAATAATAATATATTTCATTGTGAAAGAAAAAAAAAGTAAAAGTGACTAAAAACATCTGGCTTAAATAAAATATTCAAAAATATGTAATACACACCAGAACCTATTGATATATTTTAATTTCATTAAAAAGCAGAACAGCCAGACAACACAGGCCTTCTGATGCAAAAAAAACAACAACATAAAGAATATAGCACCACTATGATGCATTCTTACAGTATGTAAATGTTCTTGCAATAAATAACCTTAACCTGAATCTAATGCAGTCTATAGATTCAACTAATAGTTTACAGGAAATATGACGGCTAGGGAAATATGTTAAATGACACCATAAGGACACAAAATACAGCCATAACTAAAAAAACACAGAAAACTCCCTTTAAAAATATGACCCAGGCTCACCAACAAAAACATGCTGGGGCAAGGGGCGGGGTGAGGGGGCAGGGTGTAGAGGGAAGAGAATGTGAAGGTTAAAAGCAATTTATAACACATCAACCAGCTCTGGCCGAGCAGCTCAGCTGATTCGAGTGTCATCCCCACACACCAAGGTTGTGGGTTTGATTTCTGGTCAGGACACGTACAAGAATCAACCAATGAATAAAACAACAAATTGATGTTTCAATGTTCTCTCTCTCTCTCTCCTCTTTCCCCTCCCCCCCCCTCTCTCGTCTCCCCACTTCTTCTCACATATCAACCAAGTAAAATGTGCTAGCACTGTTTACATCCTATACTTATTAAAAATATACATAAAAATACTTTAAAAATAAATCAGTAAAAATGGAACAAAGACTAGGTATTTGATGATATTAATTTTGTTAGATATAATAATTATATTCCTCTTGTCTTTTCTATATGGTCTTTTTTTATATTTTTTAAAATATATTTTTATTGATTTCAGAGAGGAAGAGAGAGTGAAGAAAGAGATAACACTGATGAAAATCATTGATCTGCTGCCTCCTGCATGCCCCCTACTGGCGATTGAGTCCACAACCCAAGTATGTGCCCTTGACCAGAATCGAACCTGGGACCCTTCAGTCTGCAGACCAACACTCTATCCACTGAGCCAAACCAGCTAGGATATGGTCTTTTTTAAAAGTCCTTATCTTTTTTGACATATATGTTTAAGTGTTTATGGGTGCAACATGTGGATAACTGAAGAAGGCAAGATAATGGGGCCATGAGGATCCATTGTACGAATCTCTCTGCTTTTATATATTTGAATTTTTTTAAATATGTAAATTTTATATAAATATGAAATATGTAATAACAAGTTGATTCTAATGTGCTCACTGGAATGCAAACAATATTTACCTGAAAAAAAGCCTAGATGTTGGACAGAACTGACCCTGTGGGAGCTGTCATGTTCAAAGAAAAATCAACCTCAACAGGACCACAGCTAAGAACTGCCTCCAGGATTTTCTAGAATTATATTTTTATTGATTTCAGAGAGGAAGAGATCAGGAGAGATATAAATATCTATGATGAGAGAAGATCATCAATCCACTGCCTCCTACAACAACCCAGGCATGATCTGGACTCGACCCTCAAATCTCCTGGTTCATGCATCAAAGCTCAACCACTGAGCCACACCAGCGGGGCAGCTGCCAGGATTTTTTCCCCATTGGCTTATTCACTTCTTTTTTTACTCCTTAGGTATTTATCTTTTATTTAACTTCAAGCTTTTTAAGTTATTTGCTTTTTATCAAACCTCAAATTTTTTAATCATTAAACTCCTTTCTTTTTTAGAGAAAGTTTAATGACTTATAGATGATGAATCTTTTTCTAATTCTAGACCTAAGTATTTTCTATCATAAATGGAAAATTGAAGTTTATCTTAAAATCTCAATAAGTAAACATCTTTTCAAATGGCTCTGCATTTGTTTTATCATTTCAACCTTTAAGATCAAATGATTTAAATTTAAGCTTTAAAAAATTCATTTTATCTGAAAAAAAAAATTCAGTGAATGAAATAAATAGCATTCTTCCCCCATTGTTTCATAGTATTTACATCCTAAAGCTCACATTTATAATAGACATCTACTTCTATACCTCAGTCAGCTCCCTCCAATCTCTTCTGTTGCAATTTACCTACCTGATGTTCCCCTACTTAACTAACTTTGTGGGACATTGTTAGCTATCTCACACAGTTCTCCTTTTAATAAGGTTTAACTTGACTATTAAGATGTCTGTGCAGAGTCAGCATCGAATGTCCATATCCTCCCTGCTTCCCTCCTGGTCCTCAGAGGAGCTTACCTCAAATACTGCTTCAGGGCACTCGTTATTGTCTTCACTTCCCACTCGCTAGAATTCTCCAGGTCCAACTCATTGCAGGTTTTTACATCTAGTGAGCAAGCAAAAAAGAAAAAAATAATTAAATCTTTGAACATTCAAAGGCCCTCTTGACTGGCTCACAAAGCTTTCATTTATAAGTGGCCAAACCACAAGTAATTAATTCTGTGGTTTCCTATAAAAACATTATATACCATTTCTTATAATATTGTAAAAGCTATGACCTATTATTAGACATTTCTAACACTTCAGAAAATCTGTCGTGGAGATCAAAATAAGAGGATTGGGATTGGGCAGAGAGTAGAAAGGAGCTCGACATAGTACAACATTTCAATAGTGACTACTGCAAAGCATGGATAGCTATTATTCTATGATCAATATTATTTTCATTATTCAAGCTGTTACTCAGTAACCATGGCTTAGAGCAGTGGTCGGCAAACTCATTAGTCAACAGAGCCAAATATCAACAGTACAACGATTGAAATTTCTTTTGAGAGCCAAATTTTTTAAACTTAAACTTCTTCTAATGCCACACCTTCTTCAAAATAGACTTGCCCAGGCCGTGGTATTTGTGGAAGAGCCACACTCAAGGGGCCAAAGAGTCGCCATGTGGCCAGCGAGCCGCAGTCTGCCAACCACAGGCTTAGAGAATGGGGCATTTACAGTGTCTGTACACTATCAGTTGTTCGGGTGGCACTGTTGCTGTCACACTGCGTTAGGACAGGAAACAGGCAGTGTTGTTAATGGCAAGATGACTACCCTGTTTCCCCGAAAATCAGACCGTGTCTTATATTAATTTTTTTCTCCCAAAGTTGCGCTAGGTCTTATTTTCAGGGGATGTCTTATCTTTCCATGTGCTAGGTCTTATTTTCGGAGGATGTCTTATTTTCGGTGAAACACGGTATTAGAATAGCAAAGTCAGTGGGAGGAAAGGATGAGTTTGGTCTAAGATATGTACTCATCATATCACATTTCTGAAAATTAATACGTGATCAGTCAAAATAGAAATATGACGACACACAAACTTCAACAGTCATTTGTGGACAATCATTCACATTAATATTAGAATTGATACACTCATCCAGGAAATATTTATTGGAACCCCCTGTGTGACATTTCTGGCGTTCACTCTAAAATTAAACTAGTTTTCTTTGTCCTACAAGTGTGTTAATGATGTGTTCTTCCAAATGGCCTTTCAAATAGCTAATAAGCTCAAAGAAGACATGAGGCTTAGAGAGAGAGGGGGGGGGGGGAGAGGAGGGGAAGGAGGAGGAGGAGGAGGAGGAGGGGGAGGAGGAGGAGGAGGAGGGAAAAAGGGAGAAAAAGAGAAAAGGAGGGAAGAAGGGAGGGAGGGAGGGAGGGGAGAAGGGAAGGAGGAGGAGGGAAGGGAGGCAGTGCATTATAAAGAGGAGAGGAGATAGTCAGTCCTGAATGGTGGGGAAGGTCGGCCCCCAGAGCTGGGTGGGATCTCTGATCCTGGTAAGGCTGGGCTACCATGGCTCCTGTGGCATGGCCACAGGGCAGAGTGCAGCACTAGGATCACAAACCCAGGCTGCAATCTCTGAGGAAACCCCACTGCACACACATCAGTTCCAAACCCATCTGAACTTGAGGCCCTCACCTGCAGGAAGGAAGTCATGTAAAAGCTCTCAGAGAGCATCAGAGCAAATCAGAGATGTGACATATTTAAACATGTTATTCAATAACTAGGTGATTGCCATCACTGAATCACTACAAGTATCAGCAGTCAGCAGTCGGTGGCAATACTGACCTCCGAAGGAGGGAGGAGCAGACGGGTTATAATGCATGGTCTCAAACAACCACTATAAGCATGTCTGCCTTTCTGCACTCCCGTCACACAAAGGAGAAAGAGGAGATTCATGGAGGGGACTCTCTCCCTCACTCCAGAATGACGTTTCAACTAAGACAAAAACTCTTCCTTTCTTTTCCTCCCTTACACTGCACTTGTCTATCCAGGGAAGGTGACATCATGTTAGTATTTCCTCTTTAAAAGCACTAAAAAGAAAAATCTGTCAAAATGGGACCACCCTATGATGTCATCCATGCCACTAAAAAGTCTGAGGCTTGGGTATGAGGAAGGGTGGATGACAACTCAATGTTATTCTCGAACTTTTTGAAAATCAAGTAAAACAGGAAGTGATGGTTATTTCACAGCCATAACAGCGGACATATGAAGTCAATTACTCAAAAGTCTGGAGACTTTTTAAAGCGCTTCAGCAGTTCTTGATTACAGCAACTGACAGCGGCATGCAATAAACTACAACAATGGCAACTGACACTGATTACATTTTGATCAGTTCCTACCATTCAGGACTCATTTGTTACTGAGCTTGTCAGACAAGCCACAGGTACATTCGAGAAATCAAATTAGGCAGCCTGATTAAAGACGCAATCCTTTATAACTGGGACTAAATAATTCTGTTCTAAAGGCTGCGCCAACCAATTACTTCAGTAACTGAATATTCTCTCTCTCATTACATCAATTATTTAAATCTCATTTTAACATACAAGTCAGATAACATATTCAATCAACTTGCTCCCAGAAAATCACCCTTTTTAAAACCTTCTGAAGGAAAGGCTTCTAAATGAAACCTTTTATTTTCAGCATTCTACCAAATTATCATCTATATTTTGAGAATCATATTTTTTTCAATGAAAAAAACAACAACACATCTTTGGATTCATGGAACAAAACATAGCTGTTAATAACTATTGCACTATAACTCAGGAGCTAATAACTACATTGTGTCTACAGTATTGATCCTCCATTAAATGTTACTGGTTTCAAATAACTCAATCACTCATAGCAGTTTTTGTGGGTGGTTTTTTGTGGGTTTTTTTGTTTGTTTGTTTTTTGTTTTTACCATCAGTGGATGCACTGGGACTAGATAAATGTGTTAACTTATTTGGGATTCAAACTTGAAATGCATTGGACTGTGCCATGAGAATATATGTCCTATTGTAAATAATGTAAACATTTTGCTTCCTTTCTGACCACGGGAACCACCTGGTGGACTACTTAAACATTTAAATTAACAAGCACAGATCCAAACAGTTGGCTTTTTATTTGGATTATGTTTCATAATTTTATAACTAACCAGTGGTCATTTTTTTAAAAAAACAGGAAATTTCCAGCCCAACCTAGATGTAAGTGTTGGCACTGACTGGGTCTCATTTTAAAGTACTTAAGAAGCATAGTTGAGTGAATTTTGAAAATGATTTTTTTTTCAGCTACTAGTTTACTTTTTCGCCGATCTATATGAAAAAGTTGTTCTACAAAGTAAAGAAGCTAATATTTTAAAAGTAGTTTTAAAAATTTTAAAAAAAAACTGATTTTTAAATTAGTTTTACTTGTTTTCTATGTTTCTCTGTCTAAACTTAAAATCATCCAATCTTTTTTGCAAATTAGACTTATGTAGAAATCACCACCACATTCACCAACACACACAAGCTACTATCACATTTTCTCACAAGTTCCCCCCTGCTCTGGTATTTTCATTCCAAGTGGGGAAAAAGGCAGAACACGTGAAATTCTAACTCTTCTCAGTTCTAAACTACCCATAGCTATTGTAATTAATCTGTTATATTCTCACCCCACTTACTAAAAAAATGACTCACCCAAAGACACCTCATCTGATACTTCTCCCTGCCTTTCCCAACTGCTCTCTCTAAAAAGCAAACCAACAAAAAAAACCCAAAACTTTTTTGAGACCAAGTGCGCCCTCTGTTGGAGCCAAAGGGAAGAGGAGGAAGATCGTCTGTAAAGGGAAGGAAGGCAAATTGTTCACCTGAGCATCTTCTCTTGGGAACTTAAGAAGCTTGGTCCAGGGAAAACTAGGGGTGGCTGCTGGGAATCCAGCAGACCACTACCCTCTGTGCCCAGGCCTGGAAGGGCACTGCTGACTTTCTACTGTCAACTGCCATTATATTTCACATGGGCAGACAAGAGAGAAGATGGGATGGGGAGAGAGGGGAAGAGAGGGTGGGGAGGAGAGCAGGAGGAGAGGAGGAAGGGAAGAAAGAATAATAGAAACATTTTTTTTCTCTTTTAATCTTAAATGTGAAGGGGAAAACATATTGAAAAGGGGAAACAAGTGAAGAAAACTTGCAAGATTTGAGCAGACATCCTTTCTTTCAAAAACAGCCAAACTTTTACATGTGAGTATTTAAGGAATACTCAAAATATTTTAAATGGTACAAAAAAAAATGTATGTAAAAATGGCAATAATAGAAAAATAATACCAAAGAATTGCCTTTAAGAACTTGAAAACTAAATAAATAAAATTTCTTCTCAAAAAGTATAAAATGACTTGAAACTTTTTCTCAGATACTTAAAAATTATATCAATTTTCATTTGTACAAAGAAAAACGCATCACAAACAAAAGGTGCTTTGAAAAATTCAAATTTGAAATAAACATTACCTGGAGGAATAGTCATTAAAAAAAAATAAGTGCACAGTATTACAAATGAACAAACTTATCAGAAGTAATTATCTAGAGGGAGGAAATATTTATTGGTTTAAAAGTGCAACGTTAAACATCTGGCAGATTCAGCCAATTTCTTTTTCACTAAAATATATAATCTTAAAATAATGTATAGAGATGGAGAAGTTGGAGAGAAGGAATGTCTATGAATTAATTCTATACACAGCTGTTGAGAAACTTTAAAATCCTTTTTTGGGGGGAATTTATTTATTTGAATCTGAACACTTAATCAGACTAAAGACATATCTTAAAGAAATAGTAAATTTATTAGGAAAGTAAATCTATTTTGTTAAGAGCTAATGTTTGAGTTGGTGAGAATGTAATAATAAAATATTAATGCTAATAAAAATCCAAAATTTCTGACTGACAATCTTAAACTTATACCAGGAATTATAGATTAAGTAGAATAATTTATATCTCATAGCCCCTCTAAATGAATTGATACTTAATAAAAAAGCAACAAGCCAGTATTTTTCCCTCACATCAATTTTCTAACTTCCTCTGTTTACCACTGAAAACACGGTCTTTCCTTTGCCAGCAACATAAATGAGGCTGTCACACTTGGGTCCTGGATTTCTCTATTCTGAGTCTCTCGGAAAGCAAAAACAGTTTTCCAGGTCATGAGTTTTTGAGGGCTTCGATTATTTTAAAACACCTTGCAAGTGAAGGGCTGTCAATGAGACATTTCCCAGGAGCAAAGAAACTACCCTTCGAGTTCAAGGATACAAATCACATGGGGTTTTGTGAGATTAAAAACAGACAGACAAATTGGGGGGGAGGGAGCAATTTAACACTTGAGGGTGGCCACAGAGGCACCCTGCTGGAACCGGCCCTGAACATGAACAGAATAAAAGCAGCAGCGGCAGGATCCCAGGGTGCGCCCATCGGCCAAAAGCCCCCCTTCTGATAGCAGCAGCCTTCCACTTCTAATCATCATAACACCATCTTGGAAATGAGGAAAGTGTTTCTAATTTTAAAATGAACTAAAAGCAGATGCTATAGTCCCCATTAAACTCTTCCAGCTGCTACTGAACCACTGGCAACCTGAGCCTATTTAATTTGGAGACCGCTAATGGCAAAGGGGAAAATCTGACTGCCAAAACGGCAACCCAAGTTAAACCAGGAGGCAGAAAATAAAGCAGCTCATGGAAGGGGATGTATTCTAACGAGGTCTCCAACTGATGACAGGAAACTTCTACCTGTGGTTAATAGCTTTAAAAAAAAAAACGGGGTTGTTGTTTATTAAATCCTTCATTCCACTACAACCAAACAAGCAATCCTATCTGTGACATCTCAATTAATGATTTTATTCATCTTGGTTTCTGCTTCCTAAAAATGAGTCTTTGCTACAATGCTTTGAGATGCAGACAGGTTTAAATGCATCGAAGGTACACCTGAGGGCACTATGAATGCTGATTAATTAAAGAGAGATATCACATTAATTAATATTTAGCAAGGTCCTAATGACACGTAGGCCCTCAAGCTCCATGAGCTAGCATCACTCCTCCAGAGGCAGTCTGCTCTGGGGTGGGCAGAGAAGCGGGCATGTTACAGGTGGCTCTGCCCTGTCAGCCGTGTGCAATGGCAAAGCGCTTTAAAAGTCATCCCAATAATGTCTGGGGTGATGAAATGCATTCATCTTCTGGCTTCCTTTGGTCTGTGATGCCAGAGAACATGGTTCTGGAGGTGAGCCTGGTGCAAACTACAAACAAGTCCCTGTGAATACAAATGGACCCCTGAGAGCCAGACTCTTGCAGTCAAACGACAGTTTGGGAAGCTCCATAAAAATAAGCACCTCCCCGTGAGCTTGTCCAATCACATGGACTGTCAGGACTCTCAACAGCCAATGTGGAAGCCACACAGAGGCCTGGCTGCTACTTTCCTGTGTGATGGAAGCAGAAGACATTCACCCATGAGTTGCATGCTTTTCTTTTCTTGCAGTTTTTAGTAAGTCAAGGGGAAGTGGGTCATCTGTGCTGATGCAAACGCTACTTCTGAGATTCAACTGGGAGAAAACTAAGCTAGGCGGCAGCAGAGAATGGATTCACAAGTATGCTGGACGTGACTATGAAACATTAATTCGTGACATCAATGAACATAAAACAAATCATGCATGGAAAATGATTAGAAAAGAGGCATACCCATCAACAAACTGAGAAGTCTCTGGACCTTTGAACTCACCCCCACAACTCTGTACAATCCTTGGTCATTTATACCTATTGGAAGAGACAAAACGTTAACAAAATACGAGACTGTCATGTCTTAAAATCTGTCAACAAACAGTTGCTTTCAGAATCTTTGCTAACTCACATTAACAGCATTCCTGTTGAGTATAAAAATAACGTTTTACAAAACCCAAGTGTTTACTAACTTGTTGAGCAGCTTGGTATTCATAAGTTAGGGTTGGAAAATCATGTCATAAACAACGTTTCATGTGGTCAAAATGGAATGAAGTCATGTCAATGAAATTAGTTAAGTACTACTTATGTATACCAATACAGTGTGTAAAATATACAACTTTCATGTTTATTATGTGTACTTTCTCTTGACATTTTCTTCTTTAAAACTTCAGCCTTATATAAACAATATGGTGTTGCCTCAGCCACTGGGGCTCAGTTGGTTGAGTGTCGTCCTGTGCACAAGACAGCCGGCTCCATCCAGGTGGGCTCATGCCGGGGGTTCCAGGCTCGACCCCTAGAGGGAGCGAGCAGGAGGCAGCCAATTGATGGTTCTCTCTCACTGATGTTTCTATCTTTCCCTCTCCCTTCCTCTCTCTCTCTCAAATCAATAAAAAAAAAAAAAACATATAAAAAATTTAAATATATAAATAAAACTAATAGAGTGCCGATTAATACTCAGCAAAAAAATCACTATTTGGATGATTTTTGAAGACCACAAAAATGCATTTAAAACTGCGGCAGAGCTGGTTTTGTTGTTCAGAGCTGTTAAATGCACTGTCCGATGAGAAACTCTGAATTTTTAAATAAGCATCACTCAAACTCTACATCTGAACAAACCACATCGCTGCATTTTCTCTCTGTAGAGACCTGCGAGCAAAGTATCCCTGAGCACAGCAGCCATGAAAGAAAGGCAAGAAAAGTTACTGTCAAACGTTAAGTATGTTGAACACATAACCTTGTTTTGATGCTGATTAGAATAAACCAATTGTAAAACGACTTTGGGAGGAAATCAGGAAAATTGTGAGTGGCATTAAGGTTATGTCAAGAATAGTTTATATTTTTTAGGTTATATACTGAAAGGAGGGACCTGTGTTAGATTCACTTTAAGAAGGGGAAAGGGATAGATGAAGCAATTGCAGCAAAATCCTGGAAGTCACCGAGTCTTAGCAACAACAAAAATGGGAGCTCACTGCACCACTTTCTCTACTCCATCAGAAAATAATGACTTCCAGAACATGTGACTTATTTATTTCTCCCAAGAGTTCTAGATTTCTGCCTATGTGTTTATTCTCTGCACTATGCATGCTGAACACACCGGGCTGATGAGGAGATGACGCCTCTAATCTCCAAAGTTTTCAAAACAAAGAAAAAAAACACCAAACAGACCATGAAATTTGCCCATGGGAGTATATTCTTTTTAATTCTGTATTAAGGTATTACATGTGTCCCTGCCCCATTGCTCCTCCCACCCCACCCCCTCACCCCCGCTCATGCCCTCATCCCGCCCTTGTGTCTGTGTCCATTGCTTATATGCATGCATACAAATCCTTTGGTTGATCTCTCCCCCTAATCCCCACCCTCCCCTGCCTTCCCTCTGAGATTTGACGGTCTGATCAATGCTTCTCTGTCTTTGGATATGTTTTTGTTCATCAGTTTATGTTGTTCATTATATTCCACAATTAGTGAGATCATGTGATATTTATGGTTCTCTGACTTATTTCACTTAGCATAATGCTCCCCTGGTCCATCCATGCTGTTGCATGAATGGTAAGAGTTCCTTCCTTTTTATAGTATAGCAGTGTAGTATTCCATTGTGTAGATGTACCACACAAGATGTACCACAGTTTAATCCACTCATCTCTGGTGGGCACTTAGGCTGTTTCTAAATCTTAGCTATTGTAAATTGTGCTGCTATGAAATAGGGGTGTATATTATCCTTTCTGATGGGTGTTCTTGATTTCTTGGGATATATTCCTAGGAGTGGGATCACTGTGTCAAATGCAAGCTCCATTTTTAGTTTTTTGAGGAAACGCCATACTGTCTTCCACAGTGGTTGCACCAGTCTGCATTCCCACTAGCAGGGCATGAGGGTTCCTTTTTTTCTGCATCCTCGCCAGCACTTATCATTTATTGATTTCTTGATGATAGCCATTTTGACAGGTGTGAGAGGACACCTCATTGTCATTTTTATTTGCATCTCTCCGATGATTAGTGACTCTGAACATGTTTTCATATGTCTCTTGGCCTTCTGTACTTTCAAAAAGTATCTATTTAGGTCCGTTGCCCATTTTTTGATATGATTATTTATTTTCCTTTTGTTAAGTTGCATGAGTTTCTAATTATATTTTTACTGACTTCAGAGAAGAAGGGAGAGGGAGAGAGAGATATAAACATCAAAGTTGTGAGAAAAATCATTGATTGGCAGCCTCCTGCACATCCCTACTGGGGATCAAGCCTGCAACCCAAGTATGTACCCTCAAACCCGGGACCCTTCAAGTCCACAGGCCAACACTCTAACCATTGAGCCAAACCAGTTAGGGCCATACTTGCTTTTTATCTCCCTGCCTGGGATGACAAAAGAAAAAATAAAAATACTAGACAGAGTCTAAAGAACTGAATTCAAATCACAGCTCAGTCACTCCTGAGCTGAGAGCTTGGGCTAGATTAGAAAGCTCTCATTCTAGATGCTGCCTCTGCCATCACAGACAGCAGCCTACACCCCATGTTGTGCTGGGAGGTGAAACATGATGCCCACACGTATTCTCTCAATTACTCAACAGAGCCAAGAACCAGAGAGCACAGGCCACCCCTTCCCTGTAGAGAAGTCTATTCAGAACGCTAAAACGCCGGAGTAGCAGAGAGGCACCTTCCTGATGGGGAATGCCCACTGACTACAAGGGAGGAGAAAAATGCAGGTCAGTTCTGCCAGGAATTGGGGGGGGGGGAAAGAAGGGGGGAAAAAATGTGTCAAGGAACACAAAACTCAGAGTCTGAGCCTGCTGCGGGAGGAAAGGCTGAGGTTCATTCCTTCCTCCTCCTGGAGGCCAGAAGGCCGCGGCAGTTTAAAATGCCAGAGGATTCCCCCTTCCCCGCCAGTACTGCTCTATTTGAGAGACCTGAAATAGTCTGTCCTCAGTGCCAGAAGCCAAAAGAGCAAGCCATATTCTACAGTCAAACAAACGTGCCTGAAATACACGGAGAAATTAAATTAAAATGTTACTTAAGCAATAACAATCACTTTGCACTGGCAATTACTATCAGATAATTGATCAAGTTCAAACTCATCATCCTAAGGGAAGTAAAGTTAATTGCTAATGCATAATAAAAGATGCAAGGGGTAATGAATGCTACTCAGCACAGCTTTTATTTTTTTTTAATGAAATTTAAATAAACTTTGTACAAAAGCAAGCTAACAAGTAGCACGTAAAGCACACTCAAGTTGTGTAAGATTTTCTGTTGCATTGTTCTTAGATGCTATGGACTACGAACTCTGGAGCATGCTTTACATCTATAAACACATCACACAAAAGATATTAATAAAGACTTTAAAGAATATAAACCGCTCAATATGCCAAGTCATGTCAGTGATTTAGCCTGTTTTCTCCGGCTTCTCTCAAATTTCCGCCTCTCAGCCAAGGGGATCACTATTTCTAATCACTACGTATTAAGATTTTGAAATTTTCTTTTGCTTTCCTCCCTGTCACTTTCCAAGTTCAGCAGGTCAGTGTCTGCATTTTCTTCAAACACAAGTAATTTCGGTTTCTTCACAGTTTTAAATGTGATAGACACATTTTTAAGGCACCCTTACAGGAAACACATACATCCATAGTCCATTCGAAACATCATCTTTCTTTTACCTTTTCCCCCCCCAAACCTCTGATTATCTAAGTTCCCTTCCATCCCCAAGTAAGAGCAAGTCATCAATCCAGTCCAAACTCTTCAGATGAACAAGTATGTAAGGCATAAACATATAAACACCGATTATGGCCCCCATCTCACCTGTCCACATGTACTGTGTGGAATATTCGCTTTAATCAGAGCAGACCACTGGCTGGCCCACAATAACCAAATGCATTCCCTCCTCCACAGCCACGTTCAGGTGGAAGCCTCCTCCCTTCTCGTCATAAATTACTCATCTGTCAAACATTATTTATCAAATAGGTGGCAGGGGCCAGTCTAGCTGCCAAAGATTCAACAGTGAGCAAATATAAAGTTCTATCCAGACCTTCAAAACCAAAAAAAAATACCATCCTTCTGACACTACAGTGATATTCCCTTATTCTGAGCGTTGCTCATAATTAATCTTTTTCACACTTAATTACATTTTAAAACTGACAATCTCTTATGCACAATTCACAAAATCAAAAAATCTGAATGCTTGACCTGATATCAGGTTGAGCTTTTATATTCCCCACTCAATGTAAATATTTGTATTTCACCATGTTGAAAGTAATTTCCACCTGGCCAGTGTGAATCAGTGGTGAGCCTCAACCTATGAATCAGGAGATCACGGTTTGGTTCCCACTCAGGGCACATGCCTGGGTTGTGGGCTGGATCCCCAGTAGGAGGCGTGCAGGAGACAGTCAACTGGTGATTCTTATCATTGATGTTTCTCTCTCCCTTCCACTCTCTGAAATCAATAAAAACGTATTTTTTAAAAAATGTTATTCCACACCAAAACTACCTGGAGATATTATAGACTGTACAGTATATGTCCCTTATTACCTTTTTAAATTTAAAAGAAAAATCTAAATTCTGAAATACATCCAACTTCAGAATTTTCAGATTACAAACTGCAGGCCTATGTTCTTCTACGTTCTCTCCCTAAATGCACAGATATTTCGCCTGAAAAGATATGAGATCACCCTTGTTCCCTGTTATTGTTTTTAGTACCTTTCACAGTGCCCTGCATAAAACAGTTGGGTGCAGAATAGACTATAGCTAGGTTGACTTGATTTGAAATTAATTCAGAACTACTGATATAGATTAAACTTGGGCCAAAACAGTCATTATAGTTAGGAAATGAGAAGTTAAAG